CATTTGCCATTCCTTCTCCAGCTCATTTTATAGATGAGGAAACTTAGGCAAACAGGGTTGAGTGACTTGCCCAGGGTTACACAGCTAGTGTCTGATTTGAACTCAGGAAGATGAGTCTCCTTGACTCGAGGCTTGGCATTCTATCTACTGCATGACCTAGCCGTCCTGCCTTGAGGGTAGGGACTGTCTTCTGCCTTTTTGTATCCCCCTTGCTTACTACAATCCTGGTACATAGTAGGTGCTTAATAAGTGTTTCTTGATTGACAGACTGAAAGGAGTGGACCTTCTTTCTATCTCCATTTTTTTTGGAGTTCACTAATAATAATGGAATTCCCTCTTCTCTGCTAAGACCAGTCTTATTTAAAATATTTTGGATAGTTCAACTGGAATAAGGACTCAAAGCATTCTCTCTGAGTAAGTAGATGATACTAAGTTCTTCCAAGTAGCAAAATATCAAACCATTAGGGGAAAAGGGCATGAAAAACTATATGAAGTAGCAGAAAAGTCCAGCTGAACTTCAATAAGGGTAGAGAAGATGTAACTTTTGGTAGGAAATAGTTTAGATTATTCTTACAACTCAAGATGGGAAAAGAAAAGAGCTACCATGTGTGGACTGTTCCATGAAGACAATGAAATGATGTGCCACTATTGCTTAAAGGACCAACAAAATGCTTGATATTGTCAGGAGTTCTAGAAACAAACTAAATAACAATAAAAAAGTTTGCAAAGTACACTTTTCTTATGTTCAATCCAATTCTCCAAACAAACCAAGAATACCAGAGATACCATGGTATCTCTGTGTCTAGAAACTAATCGTACTCCTCTCATTCTTTCTCAGCATAGAAAGGAAAAAAAAAAGACATTTGCATTTTTTTCAAGTAAAGGTCTTGAATTTCTGTGTTTCTTATATTTTTGTTCTCTTATAGGGAAACAAAAGCAAAAGATGTGGACCAAAGTTTAAGACTGGGCTCTGACTAGCAAGCTATGTGATGTTGGTCAGCTCACTTGCCCTTGCTAAGTGTGTTTAGGCTTTCTTTAAGAAGAGAGTAGTGTTCTTAGTCATGCTTTTGCTGCTCAGGAATCTTGGGAAGATACAAGTGATTCCATTCTTTGTTATATTTTTTAAAATTCTGGAGAATGGGAGTTGTGCATACATTGCACACAATATAGGTAAATATCTTGATTTTCAAAACAAGAAAATAGATTCTTAAAACTATGGGTTTGAAAGGGGTAGGGATAGGAGAACGGAACTGTGATTTCATTGTTGTTGAGTCATTTTTCAGTCACATCCAACTCTTTTGGGGTTTTCTTGGCAAAGATACTGGAGTGGTTTGCCATTTCCTTCTCCAGGTCATTTTACAGATGAGGAAATTGAGGCAAACAGGGCTGAGTGGTCAGGGTCACACACCTATTAAGTATCTGAGTCTGGATTCGAACTCACAAAGAGGAATCTTCTGACTCCAGGCCTGGCACTCTATCCACTACACCACCAAGCTGCCCCATGATTTCATTAGTAGAGGGTATTTCTGTGGGAGAAAATTCCTTCTATCAATGCAAGTGTGCACCTACAATCTTGAAGAATTGCTAGAGCACTGAAGGGATAATGATTTGGCTAGAGTCACTCAGCCAGGATATGTCTGAAGCCCAGGTCTTCTAGATTCCAAAGTTAGCTTTCTATCTATTTTTTTATGCTGCCGCCAATACTTGTGAGCTTGAATGAAATTCCTGGCAACATTTTAGACCTTATTTTTAAAGCACAGTTTGATGATCAGCTCTTCAAGAATAGGTCATGGTCCATTAACCTCACTTATTTTTTTGGACAGGTACAAGCCTGGTAAATTGAAGGAATGGTATAGAAATAGCACATCTAATTTTTATCAAAATATTTGACAAGGTCTTTCCTTATATCCTTATGGATATGATGAAGCAACAAGAGCTTTATGTTAATACAGTAGGCAGACTTGAGTTGAATGGCTGAATCTTAACCACAGTGATTAATGGACTGTTATCACATTGCAGGTAGATTTAGAGTGGAGTGTCCAAGGGCTAACCATGTTAGCATGTTGTACATGTAAAGGAGCACATGTAAAAAATACCTGAGAATGGAAGTCAAAGAAACTCCTGAAATTTTAGGCTATATTAATAGTGTCCAGAGTAAGGAAAGGGATACTGCCACTCCATTCAGATTGCATTTGGAATAATTAGAAAGGATGTTGAGACCATCCAATGAGCTCAGAGGATGGGATATAAAACTAGGATATTTAGCCTAGAGAATACTCGACGGAGAGGGACAGACACAATCTCTGTTTTTATATGGAAAATGGAAGCCATAAGTGAAAGTTGATAAGAGGCAAATTTTGGCTGAAAATAAGAAAAAACTTCCTAACAATTTCAGCTGTCCAAAAGTAAAAGGAGCTGATTTGGGAGGTAGCAGGTTACCCTTCACTAAAATTTAGTTGGATGGTCACTTTTCTGATGTTATAGAGTAGACATTGAACCTCTGAGTAATTCTGTAATTCTAAAGCACGGTAACTTTCTCAAAAGAAAGGTTTTGTAAAAGGATGACTTGCTGAAAGAGAATTGTTCTTGAGTTGTTTTCAATTGTGTGATTCTTCATGACCCCTTTTGGGGTTTTCTTGGCAAAGATACTAGAGAGGTTTACCATTTCCTTCTCCAGCTCATTTTACAGATGAGGAAACTGAGGCAAACAGGGTGAAGTGATTTGCCCAGGGTCATGCAGCTAGTAAGTGTCTGAGACTGGATTTGAACTCACAAATAGGAGTCTTCCTGACTCCAGGCCTGGTGTTCTATCCCCTGGACTGCCATATGTTATTCTCCTTTTATCATATCTTCTTTGTGCATTTTTTTAAAAAAAATCTCTGGCTCAGTTTTTAATAATGCACAGGAGTGAATAACCACGCTAGACAGAAATATTTACATAGAATTTCTCAACTCAGTAATTAGCTTGTCAAAATTCCCAAATTAAACACAACCTTCTTTTTAGGGGGCAGATAAAAAAGAGAGGAAAAGAGGCAAAACCCTGTTAAATGTACCCACATAGAGAAATATTCTACAAATCAATACTAACTCCCCTGTCATTATCACATCCAAAAATACTTATTCAACAAAATTTAACACAAATTTTTTTTATTAATTGTCTCCTATTTACAATACAGTGTTCCGGGGGTGCTGTGGGAAATAGATAAATAAGACATGGTCCATTACAGATGATGCCATTTTGCACATCTGACATGGCAATAACTTGGGGCGAATAGTAGAAACATTCGCTAAAGAACCAATTGCAGTCTCAGTGAAATGGCAACTCATGCTGCTCCATAGGAATGCAGTTGCTTTATTCTCTGATAATGCAGGAGGCAACATTCTGTCACCAGTAGGTTCTAGGGGACAGTGGCAGAGCTTTAGCCTAGGCTGTAATCAATTACAGTGCTCAAATGTATTATGTTAGAAAAATGCGTTCTGCCTTTCCCCACCCTCACCCCCTTTTTTTGACTGAATGATGCAAGAGAGAGAAAAATGTATTTTGGGTACCAGTGAAATCTGTAACACACCACCAATCCAGCCTCTGTTAAGCTACATTTTATCATATAAAATGATCACACTCAATTGAGAAACAGATAAAAGGCATTAACATGAAATGACCAGAAGTAATCTTCTGTATTCTGTAACTTTCCCTTTATGAGATCAAGAAGTTATTTATTCAAAGTGCCTCTTTAAAACAAAACGTTATTATGCTAGATGTATTTGTAGGCATATTTCAACAAACCCACACAGACACATTCATTGAAAGTATAAACATATGGATGGTGTCTCATTGGAACTATATGCTCTCCATATGTAGTATGCCTATCTAATACCTCTGTTTAACAATTGTACTTTGCATGCATAAAGCCAAATTAGAAATCCTCCCCGCCCTATCCACATGCACAGTGTCATCTCTTCATCCTTGCTGAAACCCAAATGTTCCTCTAACAATGCACTCACTACATTTGAGAAACACCCAAGAAAAAGCCAAGTGGTGATTTTATAATTAACTCAACGCAGCTTTGTCCCTGAAATCCCCTTCATGTCAGTGCAGGCTCATCCTGGCTTTTTGAATGTGTGATCTGCATGTCTAATAATGAATAGATTTCGCCAGCTTTTGCTTCCTGGCATCAGCCTCTTACCTTGGAATGCTGCAGCTGAAGGATCTGTTCCTCAAGCTGCTGCCTCTTGCCTTCTATTTCAGTCTGTCTTTTTCTTTTTTCCTTTAAAAATAAAGTGAGAGTGGCTGTAAGACCAAGTAGGTGTTGGTTCCAGGGATTTTAAAATAGCAAAAAGAAACAGAGGCAGAGAGCATCTGTACACATGCTTCCAGGGATGCTAGGCACATATGCAATGTCACCTGCATATGTCTGCAAGCATGTTGCAAATAGCAGTGTTCTCCGAAAGTGTCTGCTGTGGGTTAGCTACTTCTTCAGCAAGTAGGAGGAAATCTCCTCACTCAGCCTTAGATCAAGAAGCCTCGATTTAATCCAGGGCAAAAGGGGAGACTCTTACCCCACCCAATCCACTCCGCTAGTCATGCTCTGAGTCTTCTGTTAACGATACTGAACAGTGGATTTATTCAATGAAAACTAATAAAAGACAAGGGTTCTTGCAGATTTCAAATACGATGGATAAAAAAATGGAAAATTCCATGGTTAAGGCTCTGTTCAGGCAAGATAATCCTCACATTTATAGAAGCCCAATCCCTCTCCCAATAAAGTAAAATTAATTGTAGTGGGCAAAACTACTGAAAATATTTACCAACTAAGGAACCACTACCAGACAGATGACAGAGTAGCGTTTGATAACTCGAGTCTTTGAGGATCGTACTGAATAAAGGAACTCCAGGTTCCAACCATTAGTCTAGGTTCCAACTACTAAAAAAAAAAAAAAAACCACAAAAAAAACCCACCAAACAACTTTGTAAGTAATGCTAGTGTGGCCCTGTAGAGAGAAATGTAGTCTGGGAGTCAAGACAACTTGGGTTCAAGTTGGCTATGCTGTGACGTTAGGCAAGCCTCTCAATGCCTTGAGCATCTCTGTAAGCCTAAAATACCTTATAGAGTAGTTGCTGACCTGCATTGATAAACGGAGTCTACTCACTAGAATTTCCTTATTCCAATGAAATCACAGGTCCAATCCAAAAAATCCAGAAATTCTGGCTATCTCTCCTAAGGGCAGCTAGGTAGCAGAGTGGATAGAGCACTGGGCTTAGAATCAAGAAGACTCATCCTCATGAGTTCAAATCCAACTTCAGATACTTACTAGCTGTGTGACCCTGGGCAAGTCACTTAACCCTGTTTGCCTCAGTTTCCTCATCTGTAAAATGAGCTGGAGAAGGGAATGGCAAAACCACTCTAGCATCTTTGCCAAGAAAACCCTAAAATGGGGTCACAAGGAGTCAGACATGATTGAAAGGACCCAACAACAACAAAACACCTCTCCTAAATCCTATAGCAATAGCTGGTATGGAGGTGAACCTAGGTTTGTAAAAAGCATGCTTACAAGCTCTAAGACATCTTTAAAAGTTTAACAAATCTTTCATATTTTTTGAATGAGCAAGTATTTACTTTCTCTTCCACCTCCTCCTTAGGGGAAAAGAAAAGAAAGGGCAACAAACCCTTCTAACAAATATGAACAATCAAGCAAAACAAATTTCCACATAGCCAAGTTCAAAAATTTCTATCTCATTCTGCACCATGAGTCCATGTCTTTGTCAGGAGGGGAGCGGCATGCTTTATCAGTGGTCATCTGGTATTGTGATGGGTCACTGCAACTGATCAGAATTCTTAAGTTTTTCAATATCATTTTACAGGGTTGTTATCTTCCAAATTTGTTCTACATCAGTTCATTTGAGTCTTCCCAGGTTTCTCTGAAACCATCCTTTTCATCATTTCTTATAGCAGAATTAATATTCCACTACATTCATAGACCACATGTTCTTTGACCATCCCCCAACTGATGGGCACCCCCTGAGTTTCTGGTTCTTTCCCACTACAAAAAGAGCTGCCAAAAATATTTTTGTACATATAGGTCCTTTGCCCCTTTCTTTGATCTCTTTGGAATAAAGAATGAGTAATGACATTGCTGGATGAAAGTATATGCATAGTTTAGTGATTTGAGGGGCAAACTTCCAAATAGTTTTCCAGAATGGTTAGACTATTTCCTTTTTTTGTCAACTTTGCCAGTCTAATGCATGTGAGGTCCTTTGAAGTTTAAAAGGCTCAGTGTATGGGCTTGGTGAGTGTGATCTAAAAAATAGCCTAGTTAAGTTTGAAAAGGCTAATAACCAGAAGGCTTATTATATTATAGGGTGATTTTTTTTTTTTTTTTGCTATAGTTACTCATTAAAGAAGTACTGAGTGGTCATAACTTGAACTGGTATAAGGAATACACACAGTGGTCAAATCATGTAATATTTGAAAAGATGCTTTGTTTTACGTATCTTGGAAATTTTAAAATATGCTTCATAGAAAAATCATCTAATCATCAAAATACATACAACTTCTCTACTACTTCAATTGAAATGATTAAAATAAGAATTTGAGTTGAACCAATTTAAAAATGGAATGGGCTTCATTTTGCTGTAGTTCCGGTTTGGTTTCCAATACTGCTCACTGCACTGCAGTAATATCTTTCTTTATTCACACAAGGTGACACACTGAAACTTCAGATTAAGGCAATTTACTACCACATTAGATTTTCTGGCTAATAAAGTGGAAGTCCTGCCACTCAAGGACCCTCCCAAACAGATTTTCACCAATGATGTTATGCTGTTGAGAACATTAGAATTCTACAATCTCTCAAAAAACTGAAGTTGTGAATGATCTAAAGGGCCATGATGAGATATATGGTAGGAAAAAGTAGTTTTCAGCTTATTTCCAATTATTACTTATGTGAGAAGAGTGGCATAAAAATCACCAAGGAAATTTACGATTGGAAAGGAGGTGGACAAGTCATGTTGAGAACGAGGGATGTTGAATGGATAACTTTAGTGTTAACACTGATGTCCAGCTTTTGTGTCAGAGTGGGGAGAAGAGAATAAGCTTTTATTAAGTGGCTACTATGTTGCTAAGTGCTGTGTAAAGTTCTTTATAAATATTATCTCATTTGATTAGAGGCAGAACTTGAACTCAGAACTTCCTGACTCCAAGACCTTATTCTATCTATTACTAAGTCTCTACTAACATACATACCATTGACAGAAGCTGGGAGATCAAGACGGGAAACCAATTAAGGGGAACATAATTTTCATTTTAGGTACCTCAATCTTTTTTTTTGTTTTTAGGCAATCGGGGTCAAGTGACTTGCTGAGGTCACATTTGAACTTAGGTCCTCCTGATTTCAAGGGCTGGTGCTTAATCCACTGTACCACCCAGCTGCCCCTAAGTACCTCAATCTTGAGGTCATGGAGGGACACTTCGACAGTAAAGTCCAGTAGGCTGCTTGGAGATAAGATGTTAAAGTTTAAGGGAGAGGTCGGTTTTGTCAAATTGTCAGGAGAATTGTCAGTTATTTCCCTTTAGGTGATAGTTAAAGTTGATTTTATGCAAGGGGAAGAAGAGAGGGGAGATAAATACCTTGCCAGATTTTAGAATTCAGTCTGTAGAGCATGAAGAGTCTAAACATAACACTTTTGGAGATAGTATCTTAACACCTCTGTCAGAAATGTTTTGAGTGATGTTCACAGCTAATGCTGACTATCTCACTTTGTAATTATTATATGGCATAGTAGAAAGAGGAATGAATTTGGTACTAGTATACTTGGGTTCACATCTTTGCTGTTCCTTATGACTGTGTGACTTTGGGTAAGTTGTTTAAACTTTCCAGGCTTTGGTTTCCTCATTTGAAAAATTCGGAAGACAAACTCTATGGTCTCTTCCAGTTTTAAATCCAGGCTCCCATGATCCCAATACTGTATCTGTCTTAGGGTTAATCCAGTTTAATCCTACGTATACCGAAAGTCCAATAACTCTTTTGTTTTACATAAAGTAGAAATTCCACAAGAGCTTCAATGTCAATTTCAATTGACACTAAAAAAAAAGTTAACAAGAATTTTATTTAAAATGGCCCAGATTTACCTATTAGAGGAATTCAGTGTGATTCTAACCTGATTGTGGTTAGAGAAAGGGTAAGGTTATTTAGATTGGATGTACTGGTTCTATGCCTCAGCCTACTGTATCTTTCCAACAAGTCAGAAGTCATGTCCTCTTGGAACTCTGGTAGATCAGACCACTTCCACAAAAGAGACAAGCCATATTCTCATGTTGCCAAGTTGCTAGGCAGAATTTCCTGCTCCATTACCCTCACTGTCAAAGTACTTGAAAAAGCTCAAGTTACTCAACAGGCCACTGGGCAAATGTTCAGTTGTTCCCCAGGGGCAAGTCTAACACTGGTAAAGAGCCCAACTACCAGAAAATATTAATAGGAAAAACATTTTTTGAAACAAGGTCTTTCTGACTCTGAGGTCAGCTCTCTAGCTACTACATCAGAATATTTTTCAGGAAAAGCTTAGGAAGAAAATGGAAACCTATAAAGTACAGTGTATTTTAATGGAAATGATGATTGGATTAAAAATGAGGAGAGTCTCATTCTAACCCCTGCCACTTGTTAATACAAGCCCAGGAAATGACTTCCCTTTTCTAGATTTCATTTTCTTCAGCTACCTGTGTGACCTTGTGCAAATCACTTAATTTCCATGGACCTCAATTTCCTCTTCCAGCTCTAAATCTAAATCTAACCTTCCTATACCTTGGTCTCCTCATCTAGGCAGGTAGGTAACAAAGTGGTCAAAGCAGGCCTGCACAACCTGCTTCCTGACAAAGGATTTCAGGCAGCCTGAGAGAAAACGTAGAGGTTTCCTCCAGGTCCCAAGCTATGTAGGCCTGGGCTGAATACTGGGATTTGGAGTAAGGAAGATCTGAGTATGGATCCTACTTCAGACACTTACCTCACTAGCCCTCAGCTTCCTCATTTGTAAAATGAAGATAAGAATACTTCACAGGGTTGTTGTGAGGATCAAATGAGGTAATATATGTAAAGCGCTTTGCAAATCTTTAAAAAAAAATTTTTTTTACATTTTTATTTAAAGCTTTGAGTTTTAAATTCTATCCCTTCCTCTCTCCCTTCCCTCCTCCTCCGAGACAGTAAACAATCAGACATAGGTTATATATGTGCAATTATATATAACATTTCCATATTAGTCATTTTGTATAAGAAT